TGTGTCTGTTGTGCTTTTAAATTGTTTGTATTGTCTGTTTGTCTTTGTCTTACTTTTGTAATTTCCCCTCCCTTGAGTCCCTTCGGGGAATAGGGCGGCCTACAAATTGAATAAAATCCAAATCCAAATCCAATACTTACGCAGCCCCACACTATCATTTTTGCTGGTGTCACTTTTGCTTGGCTGTACAAGTGGAGCAAATGATACAGCAAGGATGTTTTTGCTTTCCCAAGTATTCTGTCCAGTTCTCAGGATCTGGGTTAGCTATATAGAATCATTGAAAATTAATGATACAAATTTAAGTTAGTACACCACATTGTATTTTGTATTTGTTTCTCATATAATGATCTTGCTCTGATTGACTGGAAAAAACTATAGCTTATAATTTATGCAAAGTGAACTTGGGTAATCTTAAGACTCGTGGGATCCATTTTGATAAAGGGTTGTGGGGTCACATTTTACTTCTTAAAAGCTCTTCCTATAAACCCAAAATTTGGCCAATAATCCTTGGTTTTCAGGGTTTTAGAAAGTGAATTGGATGTAGGCTTTGCGACTATTTTACTCCATCCCACTTACCCCAAAAACCCATTCAAATAAAAAAGGATTTTATTTTATTTTTGCTCCAATTGTTTGGTAATATGAAAGTATTAATGTCTTCATTTTTTTCTGCTTCTTTTTCCCCTCAAAAGAAAAGCAAGACAGCTGCAAAAAAGTTGGCTGTAACAAGCCAATTTCAAACTTTATTTATGAAGCTGAATAACCTTACCTATCATTCGATAATAATTCATGCCCCTCATAATTGAGTAGAGAAACATGCTAAAGTTCCAATGATTATCTTTCCCATAATAAATGTCCTAACCCCAGGAAAGATTATACTTGTTAACCCTTTAGCTAAATTTCATCTATGATTATAGTCACAAGGATCATATTCTGTAATTATAGACATGAGCTTAGTAAAATAATCCACCATTTAAAAAGAGGTATATTATTTGATACTTTCCAAATAATTTGAACTTCTAATTTCAATCAGTCCTAGCTATCATTTATAATGCCACGGAAATTGAGGAAATTGTAATCTAAAGTAAACAAAGGGTAATGTTTGATTCTATCTATCTTAGAATTTGGAGGAAATCATAAATGAGTTGGTAACAGCCATGCTGCTATATGTAATTATCCTTTCATAATCATCACAACTTTGTGATGAACTGTCAGTAGCCACAGATGGAATTAAGAACATGTTAGTATAATTTTCGTCTGTATTTGCCTTCAATTTACACTTAAAAAATTAAACTGTTGAAATTTATTAGTGGAAAAGTATGGTTTACTATTGAGCTATAAATACTTAAAACTTAATTTGTAACTGAAGCAGCTGCAGTTTTTTCTTTACAGTATTAGCTCATGAAAAAGTATAAAGCTAGGTGAGTACAATCTTTCTTCTCTTCTTCACCCTAGTACACACGTTGGGGAAAGAACCTACTGGATATAAGCAAAGTGGCAGCAATGTTTCCAATTACTTCATCAAAAGTTTTTTTTACAGCACTGAACAATGCAGACACATAAAGCTGTGTTACTCAGTTTGTGACACTTGCCTTCCCGGTAACTGTCTCTAACTGCCTACTAGGTTTTGGGGAGCCATCTCATAAGCCTGGTACAAATAAAAGGTTTAAAATATCTCAATTTAAATGAAGTATTCAAAATTACAAATTAGTAACATTTATTTTTAAACTGCAGTATTTCAGCATGTTAACAGGCAGAAGTAAGAGTCTGTTCTCGCCCGCCAGTGGCCAGCAGAGCTGGCGGAAGACTTGGACAGTGAGGAGGTTGGTGAAAAACATGGGCCACTCCTGAGTCTGGGGAAGGCTCTGATGAGTGCTCTGCATCGGAGACAGAGATGGGACCAGGGCCGTCCGACAGTTATTAGTTACCTTCGGAGTCGGAGATAAGTGGGGCTGAAGAGCAGCTGGAGCTTGTTCCCGATGTGCGCATGCACAAAGCTGTCAGGAGAAGGGAACAATTAAGGAACAGAGGTCTACTTGGGAGTAAAGGCACAAGGGGATGTTGCATTGCCCCTCCCATAGGGAATAAATAGGAGCAAAGGGGGAGTGGTGTTTGCAGGAGACAATTAGTTTGTATTATTAGTGGGAAGATTTGCTTACCTGAGAGACTCCTTGTCAAGTATTTCCTTGTACAGCATTGTGTCTGGGAGCTATCGGCCTAGCAACTATCCAAGGACTGATAAGGTCTGTGGTTGCAATTTACCCTTGAAAGACTGTTTGCCGGGACTTTGCTGAATGTGAATGCTAGGAATTCACATTAGCGAAATAAAAAGGGGGTTTTGGGGGGGACAAGGAGTCTGTTTCGTTATTTGGTGAAGCCTAGATCAGAACAGAGACATTTAAGAAAAGGAATGGGTGATTTCAGTGTCTAAGAGAGTAGATCATTTAAATCCTGTTCTCTCAAACTTTTTATTTGGGGGAAGGGCTCATGGGTCACACAATATTGTATAATGGACTAATTCTGTCAAAATTACATTTGCAAATTCACTAAAAATCAACTACAGGTAGAACTGTCCTGAAAGATCGAATTGTTCAATTAGAACATTTCTTGAAGACAAAAGGGAAGACAATGGGTTTTATTGTTGGTCCTCATTCTTCCATTTTACATTCTGTTTACAGTACTGAGGCAGCTGACAATAGAAAGATTAAGAATGTTATTTAAATGTGACAAAGGAAATATACATATTCAAAGAAAAAAGGTTTCTTTAAAAAAGGTTTAAATCACCTGATCTTCTATAGGCATAACCAGAATGCCTCCAATTTTCAATAAAATTTTCATGTAGTTTTCATGGTCTTTTTGCACACCTGCTCCACAATAAATCCGGTCATATTGATGACTGTCTGAGGCAATCTGCAAACAATTTCCAACTACAAATGCAGGCTCACAAAATTCAAATCTGTGGATAAGCAAACATTTCATTTTTTTTTAAAAAAAAGTAAAATTAGAATATAAACATTGCTAAAACTGAAATATCTCTGCGATTAAATACACAACCAACATTTTTATGTTCTATATCTTTATTTGATTAAAATGTAAAGTTGAACATGCTTTAGTATTATTTCAATAATAATTATTTATTACTAAATATTTTCTAATTTAAAATAAAAAAATATAAAATATGGATTTTTTTAAAATAAGAAAATAAAGTATATTACAAAAATATGTTGGCATGCCTACAAAGAAAAGGGTGAAAAATATAACCCTAAATGAACATCTGCAAGGAGAATATTCTGAATAAAAGGTATCATGACTCAGAAGGCACATCGCAAATGACTTCAGAAAGACAATCTATCAATTTATGGAAACCACAGTACGATCTCCCTAGGCAGCCTTAGCAACCATGCAAGTTTATAACAGGGAAAATAATCTGCTAGATAACTCAGTGTGAAATTACTGACTGCTTAATATGCTAATTACAAAGTGTTTATCCCAGTAGCTAATATGCAAGCAGTGCAGTTATCTTTATTATATAAATAACATGGTTATGGTCAGATTCTCCTTCAAAAACCTGACCTTACCTTCCAGGCTAGAACACAAATGTAGAGCATATTTTAACCATCGTAATAGTTATCTTTGTCCAGAAAAAAACTTTCTTAAGCCAACAAAAGCTAGACAATTACAAACATCTTGTCCAAGCCTCATATTCTAGAACAGGCAGTGTACTGAATATCACACTAACTCTTATGTGAAAAGAAATATGCAAGATATCATCAATCTAAATTATCTTATAGTAGGTGCTTTACAAAATTGGTACCACAAGCTAAAGATGAAAGTGATATCAATACTATTTCAAAAATCTCTTTCAACATTCTTATTTCATTCTTTAGATAGTGAGAATTATAGCATTTACAGGAATCATAAAACATCCAAAACATTTGATGCTTTTAGCTACCTCTTTCTCAATTTTGAAACCAGTCTTAGCCATTTATACATTTATGTTTTTTAATTAAGTTTATTTCCAAAAGATTACAATACTAGAAGATAGTGATCCCAAATTACCTTAACAGAGGAAGACTGATACAAGCAGTACATTCAAACATGATAGCACCCACAGTATTAACGCTTATACTGAAAGTCAGTTTTTTTATGAATTGCTGTAAAATCTCTTAAATAGACTGCAAAGCCCCTTTTTTGTGACTGTAATAATTTTGAACGGTTGTAAACTGACTGGTCATTAAACAAGGACTACCTCATATTGTAACTGCATTATATTGGAAATATGCAGAATACCCATATTTACCATGGATGTAATTTAAAATTCAGCATTTTATATTTATTCATCTCAGTGTGAAATCTGCGAAATTAAGGATGCATTAAAGAGATGGTGACAAAGTGACATGTTTGCATCTGGTTGCTACTTCCTTAGCTCAAGGAAATATTTTCCTGAAACTGCATGGTTCCTATGCAAGCCTAAGAAAAGCCATGGTTTCTTTAGAGAGTTGCTGTCTGGTACATAAAACACACTTATGCTGGGATCAAACACCTTTCCTACTTTGGATCCAAATAGTTGCACAGACATTCTTCCAACTGGAATGACTTCTTAAGAATTGTACTTAGTCCCTATTCTTTCAGATTTTACAAAATGGGCCAATTTAGACAGAATATTTCAATCTAAATTAGTTATTTCAATGATTTATATTTTATTTTCCCTGCTGGGAGTAGGCATGCTGCACTTCTAAACTGAGATCACAGAGGTGTTTGAAATATGGGATGGCTGATGTCTATGGAATTTCTCAGTCATCCAGGTAGTCATGGTTGTCCCAAAGGTGTTTTTTCAAGAGGCAACTGGACTTTCTGGTTTTTCTTTGAAGATGTTTCGCTTCTTATCCAAGCTTCTTCAGCTCTGACTGAATGGTGGGGAATGGAAGGATGCAGGAATATTGGAAAAGCTCAGGAGGACAGAGAGGACTGCTGGTTTAAAAGAGGAGTCAAAGAGACCATCTTTGTGAAAACTGAACAGCCTTCTCTCAACAGAGGGGGAGGGATACAACATCTGTCTATCTCCAATCTACAACACAGTTCTTTCAATAGTTCCAAGTAGGCTTCACAGCCACACCTTGATGACACAGATAAAGCTCTAGCTGGCCTTAACTCGCTAAAAGAATGCAAATGACCAGCTGTCTGCAAGAAGTATAAAACCTTCCATTCCCCATCATGCAGTTAAAGCTGAAGAAGATTCTTGGATAAGAAGCAAAATGTCTTCAAAGAAAAAGTCTAGTTGCCTCTTTAAAAAGCACCTTTGGAATGGCTGATACAGAACTTGTCAGCAACAAAGCTGCTGCTTTTTCTCCACATACTTGTCTTCTGCAGACAACAGAGTCCTGGAAAATGCCAAGCTTGCTTTAAGGAACTGCAAGTTGATGCTTAAAACACAAGGCAGTTTTTACTTCTGTGCATGCAGTGAAGAAACATTTTGCCATGCACAGGTAAACTAAGTAGCCCTGTTCCACCATTTCCACAATGTGCCTAATGGCAAACAGTACAGATATCAGATAATATATTCAGAGTTTATATCAGGGAAATAATATTAGTGCAAGACATTTATCATGCATAAACCTCATTCAACCAGCTGTGCTGATGATTACATTGGTTCATGCTCTAATGTAAATCAATCTCTTACAATACGAAGGACAGATGTTAAGGAAATTAACTTGTCATATCCTCAGCAAACTTCTATTTTCTTTCATCAAGAGTTCAAAAGATTCAAAAGAGTAATAACAGAAGAAAATGACACTTCCTTTCAATATTGAGGATAAAATTTCTCCATGGAGAACCATTGCTTGGTGTTATGGTATTTGGTGATTTTTATTAGATTTAACAACTATAAATCTATATGAAGGATTGCCTCTAATATGACTCCATGTTTACCAGCCACATACATCAGGTGTTATCAGTCCCTAATTATAGTTGGAACCTTGCAACCCTTTTAAGATCTTTTACAGTGCTTCCATTGGGGGTTGGATGCTAGATATAGTCTCTGCATCAGAAAATTAGTCTAGGAAAATACATTTATGTATTCAAGGAAATACATTGAGACATACTGAATTAATGGAAAATAATGATAGTGTCAGTGATTTGCTATGGGGAAGACAAAAGCCCAATTATAATACCATTAATACTAACATTATACCATTGAGTAAAACAGAGCTGATTATTGCTCAACAACGAAATCAGACAAAACACCAAGATAATGTATGGTAATGTAAGGGCACAAATTTATGCTCCAAAGGCTGTTTAGAAATGAGTGGATTCTTCTGCATCTTTCTCCCATTATGTAACTGTATCCAGCTTCCTATGTAACTGTGCACTGTTATGGACTATTCAGATGCACACTAAATGTTCTTCCGAAACCTCTGAAATCCCATTGGTAGTGGAAATGAGCCATTGTACAAATCTGTAGGTACAGAAATAAAACACAAGATACTAGACTGTAGTTTTTAAACACTCTTTTTCTTCATCATCAATGTAATCGTGTAGTTAGATATAGCATCAGGATGACTTTATAATTCACACCAGTTAGTGCTACATAATGTGGCCTTCCCACATGTCTACTTTTGGCCTTCTAAAACTTAATGCCAAAACATATGTATCTTCGTGTTATGATTGCAGATACAAAAAGTAACAACATAAATGAATTTCAACTTTTTATTTAATCTAGTGAGCCACAGAAATGAAATGATTTAAAAGAAAATACTATTGGAGTAGAGTAAGAACTTTCATGTCCTACGCATTGATCTCCTTTATTTAAATAACTTATTAGAGCACAATCTTCTTTCAATCAAGTTTCTTGTTAGAACATGGTCAAAGATTGATAAAATAGATAAAACACATTGCAACCCAATCTGTGGCACAAAACAGACAAAAGGGAAAAAAAAGTCAAATGAGTAATATGAAATACAGTTCAGAAAATTAGGCCAGATTTCTCAGATTCACAAATTCAGGAGAATCTTCCTTATATAAAGGCAGATGAAAGTAAAATAATTACTTAGGAACTCTGGTAGCCAAAATATGTCCTGTCCTTATGGCTAGCCTCTGAGTAAATATAAGTTCATTTCATAATTCAATCAGAACACATCCATGGTTTTCCCACTTCTGCATATGAATCATTAAATATACTCCAGGGAACCACACACAAAAAAGAACTGACATTTTGTGCCTGATTTTCTAACTCATTAATTGCAGATAATTTTTTTAAAATAACCATAATCATATGGCCTTTGGAAATACTATAAAATGGATTGAAACAAATTTGGACAAGAATTTCTTTAAGATTTCTGGTATATGTGGCTAGGAAGGAAAGAAAGAAGGGAATTTATAGTATGATGATAAACCTGTAATTTGACAATTTTGATGTAAGAAATTTAACATTAAACATACAAGAAAGCACTGTCCTTATATACCTTTCTACTAATCTATATAAATTATTATCTGCTAGTATGTAATCTGATGAGTGCTAGTACACTTCAAGGGCATATTACATTAATCTTGAATTCCTAGTATCTTCTAAAATAAATAGAACTCAAATCTCATATAAAACAATCATTAACTGAAGAGGTTGTGTCAGGACTGATTAGGTGAGGTTACCTGAAAAATTCTAAGTGGGCCATTACTTTTGGAATAACTTAGACATTCTGATAGGTGATGATTTATGATGGTCTAATATATCAGAAAGGTAAGATTGAATGTACATTACGATTATAGAGTCCCTTCCCTTTATGCAGCAGGTATACATGTTCCATTGATCCACCACTGAAAGCTATAAAAGACTTCAAAAAATATCATTTGTTTAACTTGGAGGCTATATGCCTACTCTGCAAACTACTTAGAGGGCTGTAAAACACTGTGAAACTGTGTATAAGTCTAAGTGATATTGCTAACACAAAATTGCAGCAATTT